TTGTGCAAAAATTTTATATGTTTTATATTGCACGGTCCAAATTCGCGCCAACCTTAGCCAAATCACAAATCATGATTTGCGGCCAAACGGGGCCTAAATTCAATTGGACATGTTCAACAAACAATCCTCAATTCAAAAAAAATAATTTCAAACAAAAACTGCATTTCAAAGCTTTTTCCATTTCCAAGTGCTTGAAATTGATAGTATGTTTTCTGGGCAGTTTTTTTTTTGTGTCAGTATCTAGAGTGCTGGGTGTGTTAAATTGAAAAATTCGAACAAAACAAAGAGAAGGATGAGTAGAGTCTCGAGATCAAAATCTCATACTGAGGCTCTAGATCTTAATTTTTGGCCCCCAAAAATGTTTTTAAACAAGGCTCCTCAGCATGACTTGTGTCAGAACCAATTTAGAGTTCATATGGAATGATACGGATTGTGATCACTTATTGAATAATAGGGTCCTGGCACTCCAAAATAAAATCTGTACATGTAAAGGTTTTGGCTCTTGTTCTGACTGGTATGTGCAGTTCTGACACTTGACCCTCAGTGATCTGAAGCACAATCTGCTGGTGATCTACCCTTGACAATTGAAATATGTACTGACTATCTTGTTGTGACAAGTGAGAGAGACAGAGACCACTCCTAAATTCAATCTTTATTTGTGTCTTGATGGTTCTCTAGGTCTGTAATAGATTGGTATAACAGTTGAAAGTCCAATAAGCTATTTCAATTCCTCTTGGCCTAACAAACTGAGATATTTCCTCAAAAGTACACATTGAAATATGAATAGGATAAGATCATCAACCTCCCTTAGATTCAGAATAATGATTCTCTATCAGTTCTACCTGTACTTTGCCACTGCCTTTTTTGTTGGAGGAATATCACCACATGGTCATTCAACTACTTGGGACACAGAGTCATGTGTATTTGAAGGGCTTGCCAATCTGGCTGAGGAGGACCTGAGGCCTTCAAAACGTCAAAAGAGCCTGGAATACCCAACTCAAATGTTTCCAGATGGCATCATTGAAGATTACTCTACATCAAGTGGTGAGAGCCTACTTATTACCAATACCTACCACTACCACTGATTTGGAGTAATTTTAACCATCATAATTTGTAGAAAATACTCACATGATCTGGCCTGAACTGGGTCTTCAAAATTCCAATGATATGTTAGCATCATCATTGGGTAGTTCTGGTGTTAACAATGGATACATGGAAAGAGGTTAGTGCTCCTTCCGATAGAAGATGTGGTCTTCAAAACCTGCTCAGAAGCTAATCAGTTCATCTGAATTCATATCATATAGACAGCAATCATACTGGCAAGAACACCTACTCCCTTTGGGTTGATGGGGAAACTTGGCATGATCATTTGGAAATCAATCCACAATCAGAAGGTTTGGATTTTGCTATTGGTGAAGAATGCAAGAACAAAGGTGAACATAATTAATAAATGATGTAGTTTTCCGCAAAAACCAATGAGCAGCTCATTTGGCTACTCATCATCCAGAGACAAATTATGCCTCTGAAAAAGATAAGCAGCTTTGGAAAAAAATACAGGAATTGTCTCATCTGGAATCAGGATTATTTTTTGCTTCCAGTTCAATCTTTGGAAATTTTAGAGAAGTAGGGCATAAGGGTGAGTTGAGAGACGTCGATATTGTCATGGGCTGTCAAATAATCTCATGCATTGTGCTATCCTGACACACTCAATCAAGACAAGGAATCCGGAGTTCTCCATGGAGAGGAATTTAATCAAGTTTTGGGGGTTCATCAACAGCAAAACCAGCAACCCAGGAAGAGGCCTCAAAATGTTCCTCCCATAAAGAATTTATTCCAGCCCCAAAATACTGCTTCCAAGCAAGAAAAAAAGGAATTGAAACAACAGAGGAACAGATATGGTCGTTTGTCTCTCCACACACAAGGTGCACAGGAAGATTACTTTGGAAATGGTGATACAATGATCATTTTGGTTCGAAAAGCAAGGTCATCTCTAGAACATCTGGATATTGGTGCTTTCCGGGAATGGAAGAAATTTGAAGATAAAATTGAGAAACACAAGGAGGATATTATTAGGCTATACAAGTTTCCATCCAAAACTCCAGGCTTGATGATAATTTCTGGTCCATCAGAAGAAACCTGGGACTCTTCTATGGTTTTTGAACATATTAAAATCACTAGGATAGCCCCAAATTCAAACTCAGGTCCATATGCAGCTTCTAAGATAATCATCAACAGGATCCACGAGATTGGAGAGGCTTTACATCTTTGTCATCACTGGTTCCATCAGAATGGAATTGAAGGAAAACATCTGGGAAAAACAAAAGGAACTCACAGGAGGATTTTGGAGTGGTTTTTCAGTCTCATCTTTATGGAGACAGAAGAGTGTCTTCCTCTCCTGGGCATATCCAAGATCTCAAAAGAAAGTGGAACCAAACTGTTCAACAATGCTCAAAATATCATCCTGAAATCTCTGGTCATGAACAAAAAATTTAGCAAATTCAAAGCATTTAAAACTGCCCTTGATTTGATGCCATTATGGTTCCAAAAAGAAGGAAGTACTCACTCTCCCAAACATTATGCACAATTAGCTGCATCAATAACTAAGAATGTAAACTATATTTCATAAATCCTCCTTCTCAAAGAAATATTCAATTGACATATTTTTGATCATCATCACATCATGTATGTATTATTCCTTCAATTGTGACTAGATTCCAAGGTGTTGATAATTTCTACAAATTAAATGGCACAGCCAAAAAAATGCCTTTTGTTAGAGTATAGGAATATTATTTTAAACTAGGTATTCCAAGATTGTGCAGAATA